ACATACACACACATACATACATACATACATACATACATACATACATACATACATACATACACACATACATACATACACACATACATACACACATACACACATACATATACACATACATACATACATACATACATACATACATACACACACATACATACATACATACATACATACATACATACATACATACACACACATACATACATACATACATACATACATACATACATACATACATACAAACATACACACATACATACATACATACACATGCACACACACATACATACATCCATACATACATACATGCACACACATCCATCCATCTATCCATCCATCCATCCATCCATCCATCCATACATACACACACATACATACATACATACATACATACATGCATGCATATGCATGCATGCATGCATGCATGCATACGTACAGACATGCATGCATGCATGCATACATACATACATACGCACACATACATACATGCATACACACATACATACATACATACATACATACATGCATGCATGCATATACATACATACATACATACATACATACATACATACACACACATACATACATACATACATACATACATACATACATACATACATACATACATACACACATACATACATACGTACATACATACATACATACATACATACATACATACACAGGCATACATACATACATACATACATACATACATACACACACATACATACATACATACATTCCTGCCTGCCAACATACCTACCTGCCTACCTACCCATGTACATACTTTTTCGTCGGCGGCGAGGCAGGGGTTACTGCACCAGCGGTCGGGCTAAACGAGGCTACCGAAGAGCGAATTGCCCAGCGTGTGCGAGGAGAGACTGAGACAGACAGGGCGGCCGCGGAGGCGGTGCGTACCTCCGTCCGTCCGTCCGTGCGTGCGTGCGTGCGTGCGTGCGTGCGTACATGCATGCATGCATACATACAAACAAACAAACAAACAAACACACACACTTACATACATACTTACATACATACATGCATACATGCATACATGCAGACATACATACATACATGCACACATACACACATACATTTATTATTTTGGACGGAATGCCTCTAGGGTCTTTGGGCCGCAGCACAATAAGGACACCCGGTATACATCAAGTCCGCCCTCCATCCCCCCGGGGCCTCCCTGGGGCCTCCCCAGCACTTGCTGAGCCTCTGCGTATGGTCCAAATCAGTTCCAGCTGGGCCAATGTGTATCCCAGACGGCCCAAGATGCCCCCAAGACGCCCAAGACGATTCCAAGAGGACCCTCAAGAGGGCCCGAAGAGGCAAGAGTCGCCCCAAGGGGCTTCAAAACTGCCTCCGAGAAGCTCCCCAAAGGCTTCCCAAAAGACTCCAACAGGCATCCAAGAGGTCTCTGACCAACATTCCAGGCACGGTGGCAGGATGAGCCGCAGGCCAATAGGAGGTGCACACGTGGACGACTGGCACCGTGGCCCATCCTCTCTGTCCTTCTTGTTACGTTTCGTCTGCGAAGGCTCTGCTTCTCCTTCTGCTCCTGTCCCTCCTTGTCGTTCTGCTCTCGTCTTCGTCGCCATCATGCTCCTGGACTCGTCTTCGTCGCCGTCATGCTCCTGGACTCTTCTACCCTTTCTCGACCTCCAAACCGCCCCCCTCGTCCTCTTCGCCGTCCTCCTGGAGGCCTACGTGCTCAGAGAAGGGCTGTTTTCTCCGCGTTCCCGTAGCATCTTCGGACCAGAGTCCTATCTACAACCGTCTCCCAACCCTCGACATCTTCCTGCGAGCTGGGATTCCAGAGAACCCGAGCGCTCGAAGCGCGCGGTGTGGTTCTAGTGTGTCTCCCTCTCTCTATTTTCATATCACATAAAGGGGGAACCGAGCCATCGATCCTGGGGTCCAGAGGAGAAGCTGTCTGAGCCTTCCCCGAAGACGCAGGCAGTTTCTCGGAAGGCCAGGGCGCTTCTGAGAGGCCCCGCCGCCTTCTGAGAAGGCCCTTCTCCTTCTCTTCTCCTCCCCTCGCTCGTCGCCGAGCCTCGCGCACGACCTGCACGGAGCTCGGGCCATGGCTGGCTCGTGCAGGGCGCCCTCTCAGACGCTGGCGGAAGCCCGTGCCCGGCGCAGGGCGCCGCTCGGGCGCAGTCCACCGCAGCTCGGGGGCGGAAAAGAGGGGGGTGATGACTAGGGGGGGGTGGATATCATGGCGGGGGCCATGATATCTCCCCAGATTTCATGGCGCCTCTTCTTGTTTCATTACGTCCCTGGCCCCCCCGCTGGGCCGCGCACATGCCGCTGGTCATGATTTGCACCCCCCCCTCTTGGACACCCCCCTCTTGGCCGCTCCCGAGCAGCGCTGGCCGCGCCAGCAGTGCTGGCTGCGCAGAGTTCGCCGGAGGCGAGCAGGCGCGTTCGGGGTCGGTTCGTGCGAGCAGCGCCGGCAGTGGGACGTGCACCAGGAGCGAGCCGTCGCGTTCGGAGGGAGTTGCGTGGCAGCGGCTCCGCCTCCCGTTCCTCCTCCCGCCGACAGTGGCGCGCAGCAGGAACACAGAAAGCGGATGCGGAGGATGATGAGGAAGCGTGAGAAGGCCGAGGGGGAAGGGAAGAGGGATAGTGGGAGGAGGACGTGGAGGCGTAGGCGAAGGAGTCGGAGTAGGTGGATGGGGTGATGATGAGGAGTACGAAGGGGAAGCATCAGAAAGAGGAAGAGCACGATGAGGATATTGACGACGACCGACGCCGACGACTACGACTCTCGTCGATCGACGATCGGTGATAGTCGATCGGCGACGGCGTTCGACCACCACGACCATCGACGACGACGACCAGCACCACCACCAGCACCGTCTGCTACCGAAGACCAGCGACGATGACGGCGACGACGACGACGACGACGATCGACCACCGACAGACGGCGACGGCGACGACTCTCGTCGATCGACGTGTGGCGACGAAGACCATCGACGGCGACGACCGACGTCCATCGATGGCAGACGGCGGGCGACGACCGATCGACGACCGACGATCGCCCACGACGGTCGACGGCGGTCGACGACGACGACGGCCTGCTGGCGAAGGTGAACTTGCTGAGCGAGCACGGCACGGTGTTCCGCACCGCGCACGCGGGGGAGCTGCTCGGGGAGCTCGGCGCCTTCGGACTCATGAGCAGCAGGATCCACCGGCGGGCTCATCGCCCGGGAGGAGACGTCGTCACGAGCTGACCCTAGATACCCGACGATGTGGTTGTCCAGTCCAGGCGATTTTGTTATTCGATTTCGGCTCCTGGGGTCCGTGCAAACAAGGACGGATCCCGGACGAACAGTTGTCCCTGGGGAAGGGGTTGAGACCTGGGGGGCGCGAATTGGACAAATTATGTCGTCGGATGTCTTGGGGGGCTTGGCGGATGAAGAATGGTGCGGTCGGATCGAGGTATAAGATCGAGGTCGGTTCGGGGAGAGAGCCCTAATGCTCTTCGTGTTGGTTGGATGTTCTTGTGCATCTTGGGGGAGGGTACCTTCGAGCGATCTTGAACGTTCTTCGCTTTGGCCGGCAGAGGGTCTCATATTCTTGAAGGATGTTAACATTCTGTCCTAGGTCTGGCCTGGTAACAAAATATGCTTCCGCCATCGGGGACCTACAGTCAACGCGCTTTCAAGCACGCGTGCCTTCATCAGGGTACCCTCGTGTCCTTGCCTCTGCGGCCTGTATTTTGCCGTTTTCACTGATCGCCCGCCGTCCACAAGGTCCCAACTTCGGCCTCCAAGGATCTTGCGTCCTTACCATTCAGTCGGGCCTGTCCCTCTACAGGAGGAATGCTCAAGAATAGTCCAACAATAGTCTGGGGATGATCTTGGGAGTATCTCTTGATCCTTTTGGAACCTGTTTTGAGTATTTTTCTCCTATTCAGGCTCTGCCTAGAAGGGTTCTTACCCTGTGTCTTAAAGGGGCCGGGCAGTGGGAACCGCCCCAGGCGGTTCCCCCAGGATCCGCCCTGTGGTTCCCCCAGTTGCGCCCCCTGGGTTCACCCAGCTTAGCTTAGCTAAGCTTCGCTTAGCTTAGCTTAGCTTAGCTTAGCTTAGCATAGCTTAGCTTAGCCTAGCTTAGCATATCTTAGCTTAGCTTATCTCATCTTAGCATAGCTTAGCTTAGCTTAGCTTAGCTTTAGCTTAGCTTTAGCTTAGCTTTAGCTTAGCTTTAGCTTAGCTTTAGCTTAGCTTTAGCTTAGCTTTAGCTTAGCTTTAGCTTAGCTTTAGCTTAGCTTTAGCTTAGCTTTAGCTTAGCTTTAGCTTAGCTTTAGCTTAGCTTTAGCTTAGCTTTAGCTTAGCTTTAGCTTAGCTTTAGCTTTAAAGTACTGATGCTGCTTTCCTAGGGGCTCCAACTCCTAGGTATTTCATTTTCGCCCCAAATCCGCCTGCAGGGGACATGCACGACCTGACCTTACCGCCCGTCCTCAGCAGACGCTCTTCCAGTGTGCCCCCCCAGGCGCCTGGAGAGTTTGCACCCCTGCGGTGGCACCGCCCCCGCGCATAATGATCGACCACGCGCAGAGGGGGTGGGGGGATGGGGGAGGGCTTCTTAGAAGCACCCCTGCTTCTTAGAAGGCGCGGGCCTCATCTGTAGGTGTAAGGCCGGCGCCCTCTCAGAAGCAGCCTGCTTCTCAGAAGCCCTCCCCCCTCCCTCCACCCCCTTGTGCGCGCCGCCAAGTACTCCAGGTTTCGTAATAAAGGGAGGGGGGTCTCATTTCGGGGGGGGTCTCTTCCGGGCTATCTCGGAGGGCCTGGGGGGTCTGGGGACGGTGTTTTGGAGGGTTCTCCCACGGGGGAGGTCTGAAATGGCTTGTCTTGGAGGGTCCAGACCCCCTCTCTTCTACTACGAAATCTGGAGCAGACGCTCTGCCCGTGTGCCCCCCGGAGGCGCCCGGAGAGAGTTTGCGCCCCTGCGGTGGCGCCGCCCGCGCACACTACAATATAAGCGCTCTCCGGCCGCTCCTTTGGGCAGGCGCGGCCTCCCTCGCGGGCGGAGGAGGTCGCGCTCTCCATCGCCGCTCGTCCGCCAAGAGATGCAGGCCCCCCGAGTTTCTTAGCATCTGTCAGGAGGGAAAGGAACACACAGACACAATGAATCCTCGACTCCCAGGAACATATGGGAAAATATGGGAAGTGGGGGGGAAGACAGAAACCCAGAAAATAGGGGAAAATATGGGGAATCATTTTATTTGTGTGAATTTATTTGTGTGTCCTTGGGCCCTTTGAAAGAGATGCAGGCACCCCGAGTTTCTTAATATCTAGGCTTAAGTCGGGCGTGTCCTCCCACAGGGGGATTTTCGACGAAGAATAAAAGATACCCCAAAAATGCCCCCAAAAGGTAGAAAATACTCCAAAAATAGTCCCCAGACTATTTTTGGATTATTTTTTGATTATTTTTGGGTATTTCTTTTATTTTTCGTCGAAAACTCCCCTGTAGGGGGACAGGCCCAACTTAAATCTAGGCCTCCTAGATGGGGTCGGAGTAGATGGGGTCGGAGGATCGCGCCGCAGCGCCGATGCATCGCCGACGTCGACGATGCTTCGCCAGTGCATCACCGATACAGCGCCGATGCATGGCTGATGCGGCGCGATCCTCCGGCCCCATCTACTCCGACCCCATCTAGGAAGCCTCTATACTCTATAATAAGTGTCGGGGAGGCGTTACCCCCGCCGACAGCCCCACATCGACCCCCGTCGCGGGCAGCCGCCGCGCACCAAAGGCGCTCCGACCCCCGTCGCGGCGCGACGGCGAGGCGAGGTTGACCCTTTGTCGGGGGGGGATACCCCCCCATGCTTAGTTGGAAACCCAGGGTACCCTTGCTCCAGATTTCGTATCGGGGCTCACGAGACGGGGGTCAGTGCAAACGGGGTTCGGCCAGCGCGCCAGATCTTGCAGCATCCTGCAGAGCCATGATTGCATTGACCCGGGTATGGGTGCAGGATCCTGCAAGATCTCGCAGGATCTTGCAATGCCTGACTGACCATCAGGGTCTGGATTGACCCGGGTCAGTAGATTCCCGACGGCAACAAGAAGGAGGGGGCCGCAACCCTCCCAGACGAGCAGTCCGAGACCTCCCCCAGACCAGCCATGAAAGGGCGGCCTTCTGCCCGGACCCCCCAGGACCCTCCAAGACAGCTCAAATCAGACCCCCTCGCAAGTGAGATCCCTTCCTTTTGTCGTGAAATCTGGACTGCCCATACCCTTCCCTCGTTTTCGCCGTCTGCTGCCCGTGATCCGACCCGTGCTCTGGAGGCCACGGCAGCATTGGACGGAGCCCCTGTCCCCTGCGCGGAGCCGGAGCCTGCTGCAGATCGAGATTGGGCGCATGCAAAGAGGCTGTTCGGCCATTGCCCAGAATGTGCGTCGCCCCGCAACTCCAGCGCGTTTCAAACCGAAGTCAATCTCCCAGGAGAAGAACAGACACGAGCTCACGCCCGCACACGCGCACTCACACGCACACCTTGCGATGTATGTATGCTTTTAGAGTTACACGTGTTTATGTATATGTGTAGATATAGATGTATATATATATATATATATATATTGTATATATATATGTATAGAGAGAGGTATGCATCTATAGCCAGTGTTCCAGCACATCTGCCGCCGTCATGCGGGCGTCATTCCGACTGTGATTGGCAGCAGACCCATTCGCGAGGTTGCGGCCGCGTGTCATTTCTAGGTCTCCCTTTGGCTGCTGTCTCTTCTGGCCTCATGTGAGGGGAAGAAAAAGTGTTGTCTGCGCGAAGTTGCCACTCCCTCCGACATGAGGGAGGATGAGGGAGACTGTTTGGCTAACTTCATCGCACTCTTGATTTCTGTAGCATGGCGTTTTACAAGGGGAGGTTCGCTACAACTTCCCTAGCCAGCGCAGGCGTGGCCCGCATGTAGCGTACTTCATGTTCTGAACGTGTCTCCCTCCGTCTCCCCTTCCGCGCCTGCCCTTCCCATGTTGCACGTGTGCACCATTTGCTGGTCCGCGGCCCGTTCTTGTCTGAACGCGTTACGTATGTCCCGCATCGTTGTGGCAACAAGGTGTAGAGGGAGAAGGGCGGATGGAGAACGGAAAGGGGGCGGGACAATCTAGGTGCGCTCGTGCCATATCTGACATCTACCGTCCCACCCATCCCCTCACATTCCGCTGTTTTCTCTCTGCCCGCTGACCCGTGCCATAGCGGACCTGGGGCTTCAAAGAGGGCTCCGTCGTGTTATGCGCAATCGGAAGAAGACGGGATCTGCGCAATCGGAAGAAGACGGGATGTAGCGGATGAACACCAGGATGAGCAGGACGAAAACGAGGAGGATGAGGAAGGAGGAGGACGAGGACGAGCAGCAGCAGCAGTAGGAACTGGAATGGACGAAGCGGGATGAGCAGGAGGAGCAGGGGGAGGCTAAGGAGGGGAAATGAGGGGGCGACAACGATGAACAAACAACAGGGTCCAGAAAAGTGATCCGCGCTGGGTCGATAGCGTAAGTCGCCGATCAGAAAATGTGGCCCACGCTGCAGTGGCAACACCATGGTCGAACGCCGAACGCAATCGGAATGTAGCAGCCACATGACCGACATCAGTATTGGAAGTCCGACTTGCGGAAAACACTACGTGGAGAGGACCGAGCACCTTCGGGACAGAGTCCGGGGAGAGAGGGGAGGTGTGATCCTTGGGTTCTCCCCGCTTCTTGCGCCCCGGCGGTCTCTCGCAGATCCTCGGCTCCGCGGCGCCCCCCTGCGCCCCCCCGTGGGCGCCCTGTGTGGGCGCTCGCCCCGTTGGCCAGCGGAGGAGCAGGTGAGGCCCTCCTCCTCCTCCTCCTCCTCCTCCTTCTCCTCCTCCTCCTCCTCCTCCTCCTCCTCCTCCTCCTCCTCCTCCTCCTCCTCCTCCTCCTCCTCCTCCTCCTCCTCCTCCTCCTCCTCCTCCTCCTCCTCTCTCCTCCTCCTCCTCCCCCCGGCCTCTCCCGGAGCCCCCCGGTGCTGTGGGTCTCCGAGGGCCGCCCGCGCCGGCCCGAGCGGCGTGGGGATCTGCCTTCCGGCCCGCTCGGGCGAAAGCGACGCGAAGATCGGGACACAATCGGATCGGGAGAACTCGAAATCTCCGAGAGTCGGCGGGCTTGGAGGATGTATCGGGCGCCGCGGCCGCTCCAGAGCGTTCCGGAACGCTCTGA